ATTTAGCTTGGACAATAACTATTTAGTTTGAAAATTAAATGTTTAGATTTGAAAATAAATATTTAGTTTGGAAATTAAACGTTTAGTTGGTAAAATATATATTTAGGTCTGAGCTAAATATTTAGTTAGCAAATTAAATATTTAGTTAGCAAATTAAATATTTAGTTTAGAAATTAAATGTTTTGCTTAGAAAATAAATGTTTATTTTGGAAATTAAGTATTTAGCTTGGACAATAACTAATTCGTTTGAAAATTAAATGTTTAGTTTTGAAAATAAATATTTAGCTTGGAAATAAAATGTTTAATTTACATCTATTTAGTTTACTAAGTAAATATTTATGTAAGTTAAGTATTTAGTTTGTAAACTAAATAATTAGTTTGTAAATTAAATATTTAGTTTGGAACTATGACATTTATGAATATATGAATAACATGTTGAAAATATGACTGAAAAAAAAAAACCTTTTTTTTCTTATGAAAGGATAAATAAACCAAAATATTGCTTTTAATTTTTGACTGTACAAACGGCACCCCATAGTCATAAACACATTGGTCAGAAGCTTTACTTTATATATGTACTGGATATGCTGTGAGGTTTTCAATATTAGATACTCTATTGTTTATTTTTACAAAAACAATTTTCTAGCGAGAAATGTTATTTATAGACTTTGAGTTATTTAAAATAATATTTGGAGTAATGAATGGCACATCTTGTCTTTGCAGCGACTGAGTATATCTACTGCAGAACACCAGCAGACCTCACCGTGTAACTGTTGGATAAAACTATCCTCTGAGCCGCACACGACGGCAGGAGAAGAGTTCTTGCCAGGACAGATAGTCACCACAGGCTTACACAGATGTTTCATGGAAGTCCGGTCCCGAGGATCTGCCCCGGACCGTGTCCCAGGATTGTTTTTTATAATACACGCTTATCAGCTCCTCCTCCACAGACTCGGAGTTGACCTTGGAGTACCAGCTGCACATGCAGTATCAAATCAGCTCCTCATTCAGCTCTCTCTAATCAAACACATGGTTCATGGGCACTTAATATTAGTTAGTGACAAACGTCCTTGACCTTGACCACAATTCCCCTGAAAGTAATGTCCTGCATCACCTGTGTGTCTGTTTACATCTGCAGAACGTTTTGGAAATGAAGAGAGAGGACTACGAACGTCTGCCAGGGTGGAAACAGGTGAACATAAAGAAAGCCAAAGGATTGTTTTAAGCTCGTTTGGAACTGAAGATGACAAGTGAAGACAAGTGAAGACAAGTGAAGACAAGTGAAGACAAGTGAAGACAAGAGATATGGGAAGATATTTCAGGAAGACCGACATGAAGGATGGGGCTGGAGAATGTCTCAGTTATGGTCATGTTTTACTTTTCTCTGTCAGCATGAAACTAAATGAAGCCCAGGTGGTGTATCAGCAGGTAAACAAATGCCTGCTTTGGTTCATATTTACTCTGTATGTGTCTTTAAAATCTCCTCCGAGCACTGAAGTCGCCACTTGTGGAAGAATAAGCTTAGACGCTTGCTGTCAGAGTGCCATGTTGTGGTGGTGTGTTCGAGTGCGGCTGTAAATAATGATGTTTATTTGTGTACATGTGTATGAACGTGCGTTTGTGACTTTGTAGCCATGTAAAAACAAACAACGAGGGAAGACGGACGCTTTGTTAAGCTGCAAAGTGACTCAAACTTAATAAAAACCCAAGAGATGAGTTGTAACTTAAAGAGGATGGACAGCGGCTTGATGACTCTGAAAATACAGTGCCTTGCTTTTGTGTACAGTTTCTATACAGAAATTCTAGTCTGCATTTTTAAGGACTTTCTTTGTGATATGAGACATAATAAATTAAATCACGATGATGCTCAACCAAATAAATGTCTTTGTCTTGTGCCTATTGATAAATGTGCTGCAAGAATATGTATTGTGTGTATTATACACATATTACTGTATTATATACATAATATATACAGATAGATAGATAGATAGATAGATAGATAGATAGATAGATAGATAGA